GTTTACTTTATTTTTTTGAGTTTCATCAGTTCTCCGTATATTTTTGTGATCAGTCCTTTATCACTACTTTTGTGTGAGAAAATGTTTTCCCAATTAGCGGGCTGTCTCACAGACAAATTTAAACGGGAAATTCCTGTTTCTTCTCTGTGTTGTCTGGTTTTTCTAGTGCCTACCAGGAAGGGAAGGAAGAGGAAGGCACCAAGGGAAGAGGAGAATCCAAATAAGACTCTCAGGAAGCTGACCTCAAAGGAAGTACGTGTTCACATAACCTGGTATCTAGCAAGCAGAGAGGAGAAACCTAGTCTTTGAGGCCCAGTCCTCCTGAAACTAATGGCCTGATGTTGACTACAAGGAACCCTGGTCCTCATGATAAGTAGGACATGAGGGACCCTCCGGACGAATGTCCTTCTTCATGTCCTCTGTGTTAGAAGTTCCTGTCACTATCCTCAGCATCTGAACTGCTATCTGAAGGATCATGGGAAGCGACATGAGTAAAGTGGGTGGAGGGGTTGCTGCCCTCTGAAGGTCAGCTTTGTGGCTAGGCTACTGGCAGCTGGAGTGAGCCCTCCTGGGAGGTGCAGAGTTGAGTTTTGGAAGCGTTCAGCCCTGGAACTGAGGACCACTATGAAGGGGTGCTGTGGGAGGGGTTCAAGTACTAGGTGAGGGTGGACTCATGTGACTCACTCACTGACCATCGAAGAGCCAGTGCCATCTGAGCGGTGACCCTCCTTTGCTGTGCGCACTGCTTTGAGAAGTGGGGCAGAGAAATGGGGGCCTGCCTGTTTTATGACTTCATTGTTTGTTTTTTTGCCCTTTTTTTATAGCGGAGGCGAGCAGCACGCCAGCAGCAATCCAAAAAAGTTGGTGTACGCTACTATGAGACACACAATGTGAAAAACAGGAACAGGAACAAAAAGAAGACCAATGACTCCGAGGGACAGAAACACAAACACAAAAAATTCAAACATAAGCAGTAACATTTAAAATGTTGTTTATTAAATTATGTAAAAATATGCAATTGTGTTTGTGTTCTTCATGCCCAGTTGACATATCTAAGGCCATAACATATTTGTTATGAGGTTTGACAGTTGAAATCTTTCACCAGTGCTGGTGAAAATAGATAAAACCCCCACGCCCTCAAGGATTTCCGTGCTCGTGTCCATGGGCACTTCTGACACTTGAACCGGCCCTTCCCGTTTCTCCAGAATGTAACTGGTCTGTGCACAACAGCGATGTCTATAGTGTGAAAAGTGCGGTATCTTCTACATTAGCAATTTGGAACCGAACTGTCGAAGAAAGTGGGAAGGATGTGCTAACGTGGCCTGAGCTTCGAGGTAGGGAAAGCCTGCAGCCACTTCTGTTGGCTCATCGAGCTGGTGAGTGGCCGGTGCTTTACTGTTGTCAATCATGGACGTGGCTGTCGCAGTGCACACAGGCCTTTCTCACGAAAGTGGCACCATGTTTTCAGGGAGTCTTATGAATTTCTCAGGGTACCTGGCTAAGGGTAAAGGCTGTGACCAGATTTGAAAACTGTGTGGGGTATGCTCAGCTAGGTGGAACACAGCTCTTCTGGTGGGCCTGCACTACATCCAGTGAACCTTGAAGCCCTGATGAGCATGGGTGTTGGGTAAAGGGTGCCTCTAAAGAGGGAGACCGTCTTGGCACGTCTCTAGGAAAGTGTACACTTGAGGTGTCTGAGCAAGTGTAGCACCTTTATAGTACATTACGTGAAATGTGACTGAAAGATGCAAGTCACCCAGCTTGCTGCCCTACCCCACCCTAGTCCTGAGTTAGACTGATGTCTCCCATTCAGTCTTCCGGGCTTACAAAACAAAAATACTGAGCCTTCAAACTGGCGTTTGACTTAAGAGGAATAGTAAAACAGCTGTCTACAGGCCATGGCCTGGTCACTAATAATTAGGCCTACTTATGAGGCCTGGGCATCTCTCCACTTGCTAATTAAACCAGCTGTTTAGAGGGATGTAGGGCTGGACTTGGTCTTATGTGGAAAGAGGTGAACAAACAAGGTCAGTGGTGGATGAGCTGAGATGCTAGCAGCTTTCAAGAAGGCTGTGAGTAGTCCTTTCCAGCAAACATTTACTCCTCAAAAGCTGTGGGTTTGACCCAACCTTTGCCCCCTCACCTAAGCAGTCTGAAGTAGGGACTTGACAGGTAAGGAGAAGATGACAGATAACCCCAAACTGCAAAATGAGCCACCAGAACTGAACTGATGAAAAGTCACCAGATACGGGAAAGGCAGAGAAGAGAAAATGGAGACAGAGCCAGTTCTATTTGGTCAGAAATAAGTGATGGTACAGAGAAGATGAAAGCTGCTTCAGTGGAAAGGGCTGAGTTCTAAGCCTTACTGACTGAGTTGGCAAATCCCAAGGTTGGCCAGTAAGCCACGCAGGGCCTGTGCCACCTCACCTTCCATTGCCCAGCCAGGAGACTGGCTGCCAGGGGTTACATGACTTGTGACTAATATGAAGGTGGTGACCGGGGAGGGTATGGCTTATTCATCAGGAAACTAACTTTTTATTACACAGGGCTTAGGATGGGGCAGTAGAGCTTGCTGAGACCCATATGGAAAGTATCACTTCTTTGGTGCAATAATGCCTTCCAGTTGGGCCTGAAAAACAAAAACAAACTCCATTAATATTTGAAACTTGCAGCTGAACACAAATAGCTGAGAGGTGATTAAAGTCTGGGAAGAAGAGTCCAAGTGCTGCCACTCCAAGTGTTTTTTTCCCTTCATTCCCAGCTCCACATTTTCTAGATTAACTGGTTTCTGGCTTGGCATACGGTCTTGCTACATGAGGAGAAGCCAGAGCTGTCCTGGTTTCCATACAATAATGGCTCAGTGTCGAGTATAAAGCATAGAAAAGGAAATTGAATAAAAGTTGTTGAAATCGTGGTTTTTTATGGCTCGGGTTTCAGGCCTGCATACGTTGGCTAAGTTAAACATTTGGCTCTCTGGTTTGGGATCCTGGGAGCTCTGTGCTGGGATAAGAGGTTTGGGAAACGGCAATTTTCAGCCACCGAGACAACTTGACACCCAATTAGAGAAAATTGCTACCAGTGAGTAGGGAGCTGTCTATCTTGTATGTAAAGCTCAAGGCACTTGGGAGTTATTTACTCTGCTGTGGCAGCCAGTCAAATAATTTACTGTCATGGTATGTGGACAGATCTTTAAGTAGGTCCTTCCCGGGGACTGCAAACATGGCCACATTTGCAGTGCAGTTTTGAACCAATAATAACTCACTTCCAAAGAATCCTTCACCCTGGGGATTACAGAGTTGCTTATAAAAGTCAGAAAGATGCCAAGGTATTCTGCTTAGCTCTCGCCGCCAATACCATAGGAAGAACAGAGGAATTTGGGCTTATGATAAAGAAATATAGCAGATAAGGCAGGCAGCTTCAGAGACTGCCAAGTAAACAGATTCATGTCTGGATGTGAAACTTTCTAGCTTTTCTTTGTTAAACTTTTCAGAGGCAAGGAAGTTGCTGTTATCGTCCAGTAGTTAATACAAGTCCCTAATCTCAAGTGCCAATAAGCCTGTCAGCCACGAGGTGAGCTCTCTGTGGGACTCGGGAAGAGGGAGATACCAACTGAGGACAGCCACTAGTGTCAACGGGCCACCCACCTACAACCACACTTTAGCCAGTTCAGAGCCACCTGGCGACCTTGTTGCCAGCTCCCCATGCCCACAGTTTCTGATTCAGATTTGGGGTGTACCTAGCGATTTGTGTGAGGTTGATCTGTGAGGTTGATCTGTGGGCCAACTTTTGAGAACCTTTGAACCAGACTAGTCTAGAGAGCCTGGGGCTTCAGAGGCCTAGAGACTGGCCCCTTGCCCAGCTTTTTTGCACCAGTTTCCCTCCCTCCCACTAGTGCAGTTACATAAAAATGTGCCACCCATAAGAGTACGAGGAGAAGCACCCACAGCTGAGTCTGCCCACAGTGTCCCTGGGGAATCTTCCAGATTTGAAATGACTCCCTCCCAAAGGGCCTTCCCTGCCCACCCCAAAAGCAGTGTCACAGTGGATGAGTGGGAGGGCACAGCCACAAAACCCTCTGAGGGGTCCCGCCCCCTTGGGAAGCTCCAAGAGAGCAGCTGGGGCAGAAGACACTTTGCTCACTTTTGCATATGTGCCTCACCCTGGACGACTCTTGTTCAAGGGGACAAAAAACTCCCCCCACTGGACTGTGAGGCCCAGGTGTCCTGGGGACCTAAGAGCCCAGAGCAGAGCGCCTGCTGGAGCTGGCTGGCTGCAGGATCTGGGAAATGAACCCTCAGTTCGCTCTCTCCACCCCAAGTCAGCTTCCTGTCCTCTGGCAGTGCTGTGGACCAACATTTAAGTCATCAGCAGAGCAGGAACTGCTGCTCAGATTACCTTCAGCTGCTGGTTCGTCCGCTTCAGGAACTGAATCTCCTCGTTGTGTTTCTTCTCCTCCACCTGTCTCCGCTCGCTCTCTCGCTTCTCAGTGGCCTCACATTTTGCCTTCTGCTCGTTTACTTGTCTCTCCAAATCTTTCTTTTCTGTTTCCAATTCTGCAATCTGAGGACAGAACCCCCAGTCATCCTGGGAAGTTACCAAGTAGATGGGGTGTTGTGAGCTCTGTGAGGAGGGCGCAGCTGGCCAAGGGCAGTCATCGAGGGGTCTGCACTGCCACCCAGTGGGAGGCCAGTGACTGGCATGTCAGGTCCACAGAGGAGGCAACTCTAGGGCGCCCAGGCTGGACTTGACACCCTGAGCCAGGGGCTCACCACGTAATGGGAGAGCAGCCTGTGAGACCAGAGTTCAGTGCAGCCCTGAGGCTGACAGAAGAGTCACTGAGGGCCAAAGGCTCGTGGCAGACCCCACTCACTTTCCTCTCCATGTCTGACTTCCCCTGCTCGGCCTGCAGCGCCTTCCTCATGCCAAACGCCACGCTGCTCTCGTACAAGGTCTGGTAGGCGGCGATAGTCATGCGGATCTCATCCCGCACACGCAGAAGCAGGAGCCCCCTCTCCGCACAGTTGATGGTGACCTCGCGGATCAGCTCATCTTCCAGCGCACACACACACGGAGGCCAGAGAGAGCAGGCAAGAGGGGAGAGGTTCCTGGTCACTGCCTACCCACCTCTGTGGGCCTGGGAGCCTGGCCAGGTTGCCATGCTCTGAACTTGGAATGTTCGAGGACAGGCAGTGAGCAGGCCACTGTGGCCGGGCAGAGGCTGGAGCTCAGGCTGGCTGGCAGCCGGTGACCCCTCTTCTGTCCTCAGACAAAAAAGTGGGTACTATTCCAAGAAATCTGACTTTTTCCATTTGGAGAAGGTGGCAGTTTTAAAGCAGCTGGGAAATCCTACCTGCCCCCTTGACTGGGCGGGTTTAGGGCTGGAAAGGCAATGTCTAGAGCTTGCCAGCCCATCTCCTCCATAAAAGCTGGCCTGGGGAGCAAACCATAATCTTACTCAGACTGAATAGAGTCTGCGAGACTCTGCATCTCTCTTCCGGTTTGAAGATGGTTTGCATGTTGGGGTCCACATAGAACAAAGGGATTGAATTGGGGGGTACACATCTGACGCCAACTCGAGGAGGGAGAGCACAAACCCTTTGCGTCTTGGCTAACAACAAATTACCATGAAACACTTTTCTGGGCCTAGGGCTAAATGCTGGGTGGATGTAAAAGTAGAGTCTTAATGTATCTGATTGAAACATTTACACATGCCTATTATAGAGATCAGTGGGAAATCAACTTAGAATGGGCATTCTCATCATACCCCGAACTTCTGCTAAAGGATGAGGAAGCAGGCGGCCAGGAAAATAGTGACAGGTGAGTGAGGACTGCTAGGGGACCACTCGTAGGTGGCAGTTTCTGGGCAGCTTGGGTAGTAGGCGATTAAGGATGGGGTGGCCTTCAGCTCAGGGGTACTCAGGGCTTGGGTCTTAATGAAGGGGTGGCAAAGGACGTGGCAGGGGGTGTGGCGTTCATACTCACCAAAACACTGTGAGTAGAGTTCTCTGCGGACCGGGCAGATGCCTGTCTCCCTGGCCTGCCGCTGCTGCAGCTTCAGGTCCAGCTGCTCCTGGAGATGTACCACATCCATCCTGGTGCTGGGGGCGCTGGACACCTGCTGGATCCATAGCTGTGTGTCTTCCACCCACTCCCTGTAGCACAGACAGAGCCTGGCTGAGCAAAACCCACCGGCCAGAGAGGGTCCTCAAGACGAGCAGAGATGGCCCTTGAGCTGTCGGCCTGAGTGGGAGTTAGGGCACCTCTGTCACCAAGTGACTGAATCCTCCCTCTCTTTTCCGTGGGGAGTGGGGGCTTCAAAGTCACCATAGGTCCCCTACCTTACTAGGCAATCTTCACTGTCCCATGGCCCTCTGTGAAATCATCACCCATGTTCTAGATCTTACCTCCTGATTAGGTTGTGGAAAGATGGATGGTCATTGTTGCTTGAAGTAAATGGAAACTTTTACTAATGTGTGGGATGGCCCATACAGGAAACCACAAACTTCATACAGTTAAGAAGAAGTGATTGTGTATATTGTGGGCAGGGGGGAGGTTCTTGAAAGTGTGCATCTGTATGGGCCCCCGCCAAAGTGAAGCCAAGATACCACCAGGTTCTGGAATCACAAGGAGAGGCTCTGAGGGCAGAACTGCATTAAGGAGAGGATATACATGCATTAGCCGGGAGGAATGAATGGAACCCCGCCCCTCGTCCTTTGACATTCATCATAAAGGAGACTGCAGTCTCTTTTATAGTGTTTCCCCCTTTCAAGCTGAGTTGTCAACTTATTACATAAAAATCGTCGGAAATACATGACAGATAGTAACAGCGAGTGAGGGGTTTTGAAGAAGGGAGAAGTGCTCTTTGACAAGGCTTGTCAATGGGCCCTCATGAGCAAGACCTGAGTGAAGAAACAAAGAGTGTCTTCTCCCACAGTTGTGAGAATGGCAACTGTGAAGGTCCTGAGGCGGAAAAGTGATTAATCAGGACCTGTTTCTGACACAGCAAGCAGAGACCCAGGCCATCAGGAGCAACACAGGAGACCTGGTCACAGGCATAGCAAAGGCCAGATCATGCCAGGCCTTCCAGGTCATGGTAAGCATCTTGGATTTTAGTTTGAGGGAGACAGGAACCATTAAAGAGCTTCTGGAAGCAGGCTGGTATAATCTGACGTGATTTAGGTAGGGAGTGTGGAGATGGATGATGGGAGCAGAGGAGACCAAGGGGTTTTTGATAGGAGACAGCCGCAGGCGTGCTGGTGACGAGGAGCGGCAAGGAACAAGGTCGTAGAAGCGAAAGTGGTGAAGAGTGGTCAGACTCGGGATATAATTGGAAGGTGGGACCAAAAGAATTTGAGGAACGGTAGAACCTGTGATAAGAGAAGCAAAAGGAATGATGAAACATGGCCTGAGCACCTGGTGGACAGACGGGATGAGCAGGTTGGGGGGCACCTGTGGGGGACAACAAAGTGATTTAATTTGCACTGTTGAGTTTGAGATGTCTCTTAGACATCTTCACAAAGATAATGAGGAAGCAGAATATATGGGTCTGGCGTTGACGGGAGAGAACAGGGCTGGGAATACAGACTGGGGAGCCCTCAGTGTTTTAAGCCACTGCCTGTGTGAGAGAGCTCAGGAAGTGAGGGTAGACAGAGAAGACAGCTGCCCCCATCCTCGAAGCATCCACCCACCTGCAAACTCTGGGAGCTTTGGGGTGCTGTGAGGAAATCCCAGGCAAGAACAGAGGTTGGGTGCCTCTTCCCATCTCCCCCAGTTCTGGATGCAAAAGTCTGGGCCTTCTCCCAGCCTCTGCTTCCACTTTGTTTTTACCTTGGGGGCAGGATAGCATTCAAGATTTCTTCTGCCTGCTTTGTAGGATCGGGGACCCAGGAAGTGGAGGGGATCTTGGTCTTTGGTGGCTGTGGGACAGGGCCTGATGGTCCAGGCTGCTGAGGGCTGACTTTCAGAGGTCGAGCCTGCAGGGAGGGACAGGTTAGGGCTGGAAGTGATTCACTCAGGTGATCCCACATATTCTGGTCTCTGGTTTGCTCCAGGTCTCCAGCAACACGTTTGCCCTGTTTACCACCTCACTTTCACCATCTTCTCAGTAAAATTGATGTTTCAGTGCTGAAGAAAACCACACAGAGTCTCTGGTCCCACTCCAACCCAATTCTTGTATTTCCTTGAGCCAGAGTTTGTAGTGTGGGTGCTCAGTCATCTGCTTTCACAGCTCTGGTGATGGGGCACATTACCAGATCCGTTCTTGACCAGTCATCATGAGTGAGTGAGTTCCCACCCACATCCCAGTGACTTCCTTTCCCATCCCAAATCTGCCCTTTGGGGCCCCCCAAATCTGGGCTTTTTGTATTATTTTCTCATCCTCTTTCCCGGGTCCCAATTCCCTTTACTCCCAGTGGCAGCCTCTGTCCCTTGAGATTCCGGACCCTCAGTGGGGGATCTGTTTTTCCCGCATGGGATTTTCCAGCCTCCCGCGGCCCCTGAGATCGGTTCTTACTTTGGGACTCCGTTTATCTGTGTTTCGGCTCACCAACACCGGGGTGTCGTACTTGAGCAAAGAGTCAGCAGGGGGAATCATAGCGGCAGCTGGGGTAGAAGCTCAGAAGCTGGCACTTCGGAGCCTTGTTTGCCGTCACCATGGAAACCTTGCCCAGTCCCATGGCCTGGGCGGGGCTTCGGAGTGGGGCGGGGCTAGCAGCGCGAGAGTTTTCTGCGCAGCCTTGGAGAAAATTTCTCCTGCTGTTTAACCTGTCTGGCCAGCGGTTCATTGGCTCATCCTGGTACTCTTGAAAGCAGAGAAAACATGTGTTTGCGTATCCGCGCTGCGTGTAACTCGCAGTCATGAGGTAGGCAGTCATCTTTGCGGAACGCCAACTTTGTCACCTGCAAAAACCGAGTCATCTGACTCCTTAATGAAGAGCTAGGGAAGACTTTTGAAGGAATCTAGAATTCGCAAGGTTCAAAAATTTTTATTTTTAACTAAGTGGAGATACGACACCATAATAGTTTAGGAATGGAGAGGAAAAGACTAATGACTTGTCCACGGGTTACCACTTATAATTGCATTATCTTTTCTTTCTTTCGTATTTCCAAACGTCAGCGTTACTACATAATTTTGTGTCCTGTTTCTTCGGCTTAATAAGTAAGGGCTTTTTCCATTTGTTATATATTTTGTAAACAGCATTGTGAATGACATAACATCCATCGACCAGTTAAACAATTCCATAATACTGGGCATTTAGGGTGTTAGCGATTACGAATAACACAGCAGCGGACACTGTCAAAGTTACTTTTCCCTAAAGTTTGCTTTTGAAATTTAAAACTCCCGCCGAGGGGCTAAGGCCCCACCCACTGAGCGGTCATGTGCTTATTCTTTGCACCGCGAGGGTTTCTGGGAGACTGTGCACCCCGGAAGCGGAAGTTGAAGGTCAAACTCGTCATTTCCTTCTGCTAGAGGAACGCAACGGATTTCTTTTTCCTTCCCTCAGCCGCTCGGCCGGTGTCTTAGAATGAAGGAGGTGAAAAGCGAGCGGGAGCGGGGGAGCCGACGAAGGCACAGGGACGGGGACGTAGTGGCGACGGCGGCCGTGGTGGTGAAGCAGGAACGCCTCAGCCCGGAAACCGCGCCTCCTGCCCAGCGTCGCCGGGACTCCTCCGGCGGTAGCCCGTCCCCGCCAGTCGGCGAGCCGGGACGCCCCGGGCGCCGCGGGAGCCGAGTCCGTGGAGGTAGCCGGTACGTGGGCAGCAGCCCCGGTGGGCTTTAGATTGGGCTCCCTGGGAAAGGAGGACAGGGTTAGCTCTGAAGCACCTTGGATGCCGAGCGCAGCGGTGGAGGGTTCTCGCTCAGCTTTTAACTTCCCAGCGTTATGGCTGGGATAAAATAGCGCCTAACTCCTGGTGGACAGGACCCCACTCCAGCTAGTGTGCACTCACTGGTCTTTTAAGTTAAGATGAAGGGGTTCCCTCGTCTGCCAAAGTAGAGTGCGCCGGCGTTGTCTTTCCAGGGATCTGCTCCCCAGAGTGTCGTGGGCTACCTGATGGCGATTCTGGGGTCAAACAGATGCTGGCCAGACGCTTTCATTTACTCATACATTCCACATAGTTTTGCTAAAATACCTAGTATGTGTTAAAGAATCTTAAGGTACTGGGGCCTCGAGAGCGAATAAGTGGTGCCTTTATCTCTGGAAATAGACATGCTCGTGTCCTGAGACAAAATAACAAGCAAATAAGAAAATAGTTTCAGTTAGTAACAAGTGTTAATTAAAATAAAAACGTGATAGTGAGAGGCTGGAGGAGAGTGGGAGGTTTCCGAAGAAGTGCCATTTGAGCTGAGAGCTGAATAGTAACAGTAATTGAACCTTGCAAAGATCCAGGCAAGGATCCAGGAAACATCCGTTCAAAGAAACTTGAATGGAATTAATTGTGATTGTTCTAGAACTGGGGTGGGATAGGTGGGAATCTAGTATTGTATGAAGGAGAGTGGCAGGGTCGAGGTGGAGAGAGCGCTAAAGTACTTGCGGATGGATTGAATGAGATTACTGGGCTAGCAAAAACTGGGAGAGGAAAGGATTTTTGAGGGCTGGGAATCAAGGATTGTGTTGTCCAAGTGAAAAGAATCACAGAGGCAGTTATGTAAGTGGGTCTGGAGCTCCAGGCAGTTGTTAGGACTGGGAAGGTGAAGCAGCTCACCTTTCTTGTGACCATCAGGGACCTTCACAGATGTGTTTGTGTTAGTAGGTAAACCTGTACTTGAAGCTGATTTATATGGGGGAAGGGAAATTGAGATAAAATCCTGTGTGTACGTGCTCTGAAAAGGTCCCCAGCCAAAAAGAAAAGCAAGGCCTCAGTGAGAAGAAGCAAGTCTCCGCGGAGCAAGCGAAGCCGAAGTCCTCACCACTCAACAGTGAAAGTGAAGCAGGTACCATGTTTCCCTACTGGGTCCACATCTAGAGCCACTTCTTCCCACCACTGAGGCATGTTGTGCCTGCACCCATGGTGGGCTTTTTAAAAACTGGGCTTCCCCCCCCCTTCTTGTTTTGTTAAACTTTATTTTGAAGTAATTGCTAATTTTAGGCAGCTGTAAAAAAAATGATACAGGGGTTTACTCTTGATCCTATTTTTCCTAATGGTAACATCGTAGAAGATTGCAGTACAATATCACAACCAGAATAGTGACATCAGTAGGGTCAAGGTAGAAAACATTCCATCACAAGGATCCTTCATGTTGCTCTTTTATAGTCGGAATCCACCTTCCTCCCCTCACTCCTTAAACCTCAACTCCCTCAAATTTCTAATCTCTTCATTTCTCTAACATTGTTACTTCAAGCATGTTATATGCATGAAATGTAACCTTTTAGGGGTTAACTTTTTTCACTCAGTAAAATTCTTTGGAGATTAGTGCAGGTTGTTGCATCTACAGGTTTTCCAACTACCTGAAAGTAGAGTAATGCCATTTGGAATGACTTGGTTATTTTTTTGGGTGTGGGAACACTTGTCATTAATTTATATGGAAAGCATTTTGAGTTGTTTCCAGACACCAAAAATAACCTACCGAATCATACTGAATAGAAACATTCTACTTTCAGATAGTGGGGTAATCTGTATCAGTTCATTCCTTTTTATTGCCAAGTGGTATCCACAGTATGCCCATTTAAGAATATAACCATTTGTAGACAGGTTATTGTGTGAACACAAATTAATTTCTCTTGGGAACCCAGAAGTGCAGTGTCTGGGTTTTATATGGTAGTGTATGTTTAATTTTTTAAAAGAAATTGGTAACCTCTTTTTCAGAGTGGTGTATTTGCTACAACTTTCATAACAAAATACCACAGACTGGATGCCTTAAACAAAGTCCCCAGTTAAACAATTACTCATTAATTTTCTCACAGTTCTGGGGGCTGGAAGTCTTAAGATCAGGGTTATCAGCAGATTGGGTTTCTCCTGAAGGATTCTGGTTGGCAAGCCTTTCCTCTTTCTGTTATATCCCTAGTGCCTCTTCCTCTTCTCATAAGGATACTTGTCATACTGGATTAGGACCTCAGCTCTCATTTTAACATAATCTTTTTTTT